CCCCCCCCCCTCAGGTGCAGATAACCTGAAAATGTACCCCAGTGATTACACGCTCAACCTGACAGCAATGTGTGATTATGGCCCATGGGCTGGGAGGCCGTTATGGTGTTCCAAAGCTGTCATGGGGTTATAACCCATATCCACAGAGAAAATGCTACATCAGACACCCTAAGGAAAGGGCTTGTACATGAAAATCAAATATTTCTTCAGAAGATTACTTCTTCAGGGCACACACTTCAGGTGTGTAGCCTTTGTTGCTTGTTAGAATCCATACCAGAAGGTTGTCAGTTCACGTCCCACAGTAGGGGAGGGTGCAGTGCTCTATGAACCCTGAGCAAGACACTCCAGTAAAATATCCAGCTGCATAAATGGGAAGCATCCTTCGCCCTGGGTGATGACGTCCATAACACGACGGGAGACAAATGCCTGAGCAGACTAGTCGCATCCACATGCGTGCACGCCCTCAGCATGCGCCTGTTCTGCATAGGTGTGTAGCCCGTCACCTTTCCCAATACCAGTAACACGCACCCAGCATCATGGATCAGAGCAGGTCTCACCGCGGGACAAACCCCCAGGGGCCCCCTGCTCTTCTATCAGACGCAGTGCCAAAAAAAACCCAGATGAAAGACCCCCAAACCCTTTCATCCCCTCCCCTGGGAGTAAGGAGACGAGTGGGAGATTCGGTAGGCAGGAGTCACAGAGACGCGCAGGGCTGGGTGCCAGGCGGATGATGCGCTCTGGTCCTGTCACCCCATATCCCCCCCACTAATGAGGGAGCCCAAGCCGCGTTCTAGTTGAATGCTGCTGCATGTTTTGGCCTTAATCAGACGGCTCCTTCCGGGATCCTGGCCTGGAGACGCTGCGGTGTGTCGGGGCGGCTGATTCGCCCTCTCCACTTCTCTCATCAGGAAGCGTCAAGCCCGGAGATGAGCCCCTGTCGTGCCTGTGGACCCCTGGGCAGAGAAAGCTTCCATGGACCTCCAGCGTCTGGTGCCACCCTCCACGGCGGGAGATCACTTGTGTTTTTTCTTTTTCTTTCAGCAGAAGGTGGGTTGCGTAGCATCGTATGCTGGTGTCGTGCCTGTTCTTCATGTTCCTGCTCGATGGCGGCCGGCTCTTCTCATTGCATTCCTCACTTCTGCCTAGCAAAAATACTACTGACTGGCTAGCTACATAAGAAACGGAGAATGAAATCAACAATAATAATAATTAATTTCCCCGAGAGACGAAAACAATCTGCCGGTCACTGCAGGAAGGGTAAGGATATAAAACATAAAGCTTCCAGGATGCATAATTCACCATGGCAGCATTGGAGGTCTTCCTTGCTCAGTCTTGGGCAGATTTAGCAGCTGCTGTGGACAGCAGGAGCGAATCAACCTTTTTAAAAGTAGGGGGATTCTAGGAGAGGGAGGGTAGTAATATCACCCTAGTTTTGTTTAATCCAACAAAAGTGTGTGTGTGTGTGTGTGTGTAGGGGGGTAGAATCATGTTTCAGTGACATTAAGGGTCTTACAACCAGAGATGGGAGATGGAAAGTCCAGGTCCAGAAAGTACAAATCCAGACCAAGATTTTGTTTCAACAATCCAATTGAGTATGAAGAGTCACAGTCACAGAGCACTCAACTGGTTGGCTGAAACAAGACCTGGATTTGTACTTTCTGGACCTGATCCTGCTACCCCTGGCAACCACACCCTCGTCATGCCCATCCTGCCCCCTTCTGATGTCCATGGTGGTCAGATTCAGTATAACGTTCCTCATGTTCAGAGGCCTGCTAGTCGTGATCACGGGTCAAACCAAAGGACGTTTCCGAAGGTCGGAACCGGGGAGAGGGGGAGGCGGCTCCGCTTCTGAGGGGTGGGTGCGCAGACAGCAGCGGACATGGGATAATTGATTTGTTATTCACTGCGACAATGTGGAAAGGGATATTCCCACGGGAAGCAGCGGAGGAGACCGATGAGCCGTTAGCAATGCAGGCGGATAGCGGCTCTCTGCATGAAATTAATTTTCATGGTCGGCTTGATTATATTAGAGGAGGAATCGAAGCTGTAGGGTGGGCCGTGTATAAAAACGGGGGGGGGGGGGGATTTAATAACACTGCCATGCCTGTAATTCTCAGTGCCAGGGACTGACATGAAATGTCAGTACTTGGTCTGGGTTCCTGCAAGACTTTAACATTTTAATATACAGCTATAAATTAGAAAAAAAAAAATTAGCATCGGAAAAAAAACACCCGGCCTTGTATCAGGTTATAGCAAATGCCCACCTGTATTTAAAGGAGTCTGGGGGCAGAAGATTTTGCAAAACAGTTGTATTTACAAGATCAAAGTAGTCTTCCTCAGTTTTGTAGTGGCAGGGGTGGGGCCATTGGTCAGGCTCCGCCCCCCATTTCCTGTATAGTTTATCACTCTCATAACATTGAGTGGGACACGTCCCTTCCCCCACCCTGAAGTCAATGTCAGTGACAATGACAGCTCAGGTAGACACAGCTGGTTTGTGACAGTCCACCCTGTTCACCCCATGTCAACTCCTTGCAGGGTTCCTTGGTCCCTATAATCTTGTTAATGACAAGAATGACTAATTTCATGATGACAATAATCACCATCATCGCCTCAACTATAATAATCATCCTCATATAATATAAAGAGAGCCATTGTTTCTCTCCATCACAGTTATAATCATCGTTATATAATAGTGATTGCTAATGATAGTCATTTTGTGTTGAAAATAGATTGTATAACCATCCATTATTATTGAGATTAGTATGGTTTTAAAATGAACAAGCATTGAAGAGTTGTAAATGGATTGTGGTACTCGAATTAAGAGCTCGCCTCCCCTCGCAACCAACAATGCCGTTGAAAAGCCAGGTATGGAAATATTGCTGTAGCCTCCGAAGTATTTCTGCTTCTTTTCAACACTGAGTAAAGTGGAGGAAGTCCTTTATGCCTGTAATGGACATGCACAAAGGTTCACACTAGAAAAGGCTACTAGCCGTTGAAAGGCCTGGACTGTGCATGACTAGAGCCATATATATATATATATATAAAACAGTCTGTCCTTTAATCCTCTTCCAGACCAGACGTAGGTTTGTCCAGTAGTTAAGGATACAAATATATGCCTGAGCTTGCTTGTCAAGATGGAGAATTTATATTATTATATATTATTAGTTTGGGGTGACATTCCTGTTTTGATGGGGGCGGGGGGTGTATTTTGGGACTTATTGTGAAACAGAGCGGAGCCCCCCCCCCCCCCACCTGTGAGCACACCGCTGCCTATCAGAGGTGCTTCAGGAAATGTCACTTCCAGGTTTGGCTTTCTGCTTGACTTCAACATTTCAGTATACAACTGCTTAATAATGTGTGTTGATTTCTGCTTATGAATCCCCTGGTCTGTATGTTCTTTGGATTCTCTCAGTATGAGCAAATGACAGCTGCTAGAGGACAGAGCAGTCCTGGGAAGCCAGTATGTCCTGGAGAGCTGTGGGTGTAAATACACTGGTGGCCAAAATTGTGGAAACACCTACCATTTTCGGCATTACGCTTTAAAAATTACTACACAAATACGGGCGGTAATGTTTATACACAATCAAAGAATGTTACAAATATCATACATGATTAAATAAGTAATTAGAGCAACCGTTGAATAAAGTTTTGCAATCTCTTAAAATTGGAAGTATTTCCACAATGTGGAATGTGACATGTACACATGCAAGCCTGTGTGATTTGTCTCTTTTCTTTTTTTTTCCTGCTGGGTCCCATGATTGGTTGAACTTTCTGCCAATCAGCGCCAGCCGACGAACAGCCTGCAATCTGGGAGGAGCAAAACGTTTAAAGATGACTGCACCCAGCGATGGATTCGGCTCTTTTGGGCTGAAGCTTGTGAAGCTCGTTTTTGCCTTCCTTTAAGCTACTTTTGACTTTTATTCATCAAACCTATATGCTTAGGGAAGGGGACTGGGTAGGCAGTGCACACCTACACATCCACGTAGGGCTGTTGATGTTAAACACACTATGTAGGCGGGCGGGGGGGGCAACCCTTCTATGTTTTGTTTGGGTAGGAGGTAAGTAGCTCTTTTTCTTTGCTTTATTTCTTGATAGTAAACTTTAGGGTTTTGAGATCTGTTTTGTTTGTTTCTTTTCTTGTCTTTGGCTCCGCCCTTGTCCCTAATTCCCTTCAGTGTCCATAACAAAGACATGAATAAAATTGCTTTGTTTTGAACCTTCTCAGAGCCGTGTGATACATGAACACGCTACTCGCTGTCCTGCTTGTAGAGCACTTCAGTCCCCTGCTTACTTGTTATGGCCTCCTGACCTAGACCAGGGGTGTAACACTGGGTTCCGGAGCGCAAGCCTCGATGTTCCTTCTGCATGATTGGGGTCCCAGTCTTGCTATAGCCAGATACCCCACAGCATCTCTTCACGTGTTTCAGAAATCTTTATAACGACGCTGCACACAGCCAACTCTTTATCTGCCTCACATAGAGGGTTCAGCTCGTGGTTCTGATCACCAGCCGATGGACCAGGATTCAAATGCTGGTACAGCCAGTTACCTCTCGAGATGCATTATGAAAGGAAGCTAACCACCAGTGCTCCTCACCTCATACTCGTGGTACTCCTCCTCCTCCACCTCGTAGGACACGGTCTGGATCTTCACGTCATTCTCCCCCAGCAGCTTGGCCTGGGGATCGTCGGTGGTGGTGGTGGTGCCCTCGTTGGCCGCCTCCTTAGTCTCCGTGAAGGTGGTCTCGCAGCACTCACTTTTATAATCCTTGGCCTTGACGGCGTCGTCCTTGTACAGGATGAAGTTGGGTCTGTAGAAGGCCTCCACTGCCAGATGCAAGGAGGTGGCGTCCAGCAGCTGCTGCGCCTTGGCCCTGTCACCGCCTCCCCCTCCGGCCACAAAGTAGTTGATGATGTTCTCCTGGTACTGGTTGCTGGGAAAGTCACCTTGGTAGCCGTAGTCGCCCTTGACCACATGCTTGTTGGCCTTGTCCAAGAGTGGGTTCTGCAACTCGCTCAGGCTCTCCATGGTGGAGGGGCTGGTCTAGAGGTCCTACCAGAAGGGAGCTCGAGGCGGATGATGGGAGCTAACTGAGTTCACCTCCCTGGGAGCTACGGAAAACAGGAAACTTGATTAATCGGGTGTGAATGGTTAAAATGGCTAGGGTGGCGTAGCCAGTCTGAGTGTTGCATTCTGGGAACCCTTATGCTGAACCAAAAAATTGCATCTAATTATAAACATTATGTAAACTCAGGTGTTTTAGGGCCTTGACTGCTTCTAGTGCTGTTCAAACTTTACCAGCCTGTCCATGGGGTTTTCAGGAGATTTCCTAACATTTACATGGTGTCATGCGGAGCAGCGTGTAAACCCCGGCGATGGCACTTGTGGCGTACAGTATCGTACCACCTTATCGCCGCCTCCGTGCGGTGCCCCCATTACAAACGGCCTCCTGTTGAGGGCAGGCCGCTGACATCTCACACCAGATTCCAATTACTTTCCATCTCCGCGTCATGGCACCTGGCCGCAGCAGAGCGCACCTCAGGCCCTTCACAGGCAGATCCGGCGGGATTTAAAGGCCGGCACTCTATCTCGCTCACGGCCCTGACAGCCAACGCTGTGTTTAGTGTGTCACGCGCAGGGAATTTTTCAGCATTTTTTTTTTTCCATCAGCTGCAGGTGTCCATACAGAAGCACGGTGCTGCGATCCGGGCGTAGAGTGATGAATGATGGTGAAGGCGAACAAAGCAAGATAGGAAGGCCATGCATTGAATGACAGCAGTGGGTGTGTATGTGTGAAGAATCACACCCAGTCTCTTCAGACATGTGAAACCTGTTTTAGTTACAGTCTTCAATGAATGAATGAATGTTGCATGTACATAGCGCTGTTCAAAACACCCAAAATGCTTTACCGAATCAAAGGGGAGCCACTTCAACCCTCACCACTGTGCAGCCCCCACCTGGATGATGCAACAGCAGCTATTCTGCACCAATACGCTCACCACACAGTACTGTAGCTAAGCTAAGGTGGTGAAGTGGCAGGAGAGAATTTACCAATTAGACATAGGGGATGATTAGGAGGCCAGATTTGAAAGGGCCACATTGGGCAATTTTAGCTGGGACCTAAGGGTACCATCCCTACTCTTTCGAAAGATGCCCAGCAATCTTGTATGACCTCAGAGAGTCAGGACTTCACTTTTACGTTTCATCTGAAGGGTGGCACCATTTTTACCGCACAGTGTCCCCATCACTGGACTGGGGCATTGGGATCCACACGGACCACAGGATGGGGTATACCCTGTTGGCCACTTCTTCACCTCTTCCAGCAGCAACCCAGTGTTCCTAGTTAGTATCTCGTCCAAGTACTGACCAGACCTCAAACCTGCTTCGCTTCAAATAGATTACCTAGAGAGAACTGCAGGTAATATGGCTACTGTTCAAATAATAACAACAACAACAATGACAATATTAATAATAACCGGAATTCAGAACAAATATTGTTTGATAGCTTGGAGATGACTGATCGTGTTATTATTCTGCATTGGGAAGACAGAGTATGTGCATTTATACACGTCAGTCAGTATGTCGTTATAGGAGAAAAAAATCTCAATATGCTCTGTTTTTCGTCGATAGAAGAGCAGCCATTTTCTCTATGGCTCTGCGAAGGCAAGATTTGCCCATAATCTACAACTAATCTGCTAGGCTTCAGTGTGTAAATACTGGAGTGTCAGTGTAATACTTCCAGAGACGGATGTTGGGTAAACAGCGCGTGTTTATCTCGCACAAGCAGCTGTAACAGTGCATTCAGCATGCTGGTGTGCGAGCAGCGGCATCGGCGGTTATTGGCGTTATTATATGCGGACGCAGGCGACGCTGCTCGGCGTTCAGCTTTTCGTCGCTTGATGATCCTCCGGTGTCGAACTTCCGTCACCGAAACGACAAGCTCTGCAGATTGCGAACTGGCCCACGGTGGTCCCCACAATGGCGGGGGTAGGGGCAACAAGGCTTGGGGGGTAAGTAGGTTACCATGCTGGCTTTGCAGTAAATACAATAGAAGCTGGGCACTCGTCTGCTACCCCCCTGCATACCCCCCCATCATCCTAGTGTCCTTCTGGCCCATTTTAAGGGTTATAGAAATAATAGAAGCACATTCTTTTGTCCAAGAAAAGTATTAATACCTGCCTGTATTGCAGTTCTGCTGCCTTCCCCACAGTACAGGTGTCATCCTTTCCTTCACGCGTGAAACCTTCTTGCATTGTTTTAAGCACCCCATTCTCAGCCTAGCCTGAGAATGCCAGGCCGGCAAGACGATGCACACCTACTTCTGTCACGACAGGAATTAGCATAAAAATAAGCAGTCGCTGTGAGACTTGTAGGGTCGGTCTCCGGGAAGGTCAAAGGAAAGAGCTTCTTGTAGAGCAAATGAGTCTTTCTCAGTCCCACTTATGGAGGCCAACAAATATCCCCCTTAATCCTCCAGGTGATCACCTCACTCCTCTCGGCTATTGCAGGCAGTTGAGGACATGGACGCTGGTGTGCGACGTGGCCTTTGGTGACTTGCACTGGCTTAGAGTGACCTGCAAGGTCAGGGGCCTTTTGGCTGCTGATCACTGCTCTGTCTCCCAGCTAGATATTGCCAGAGGATCATCAAACTCATCATTCTCCTTTATCCCTACATCAACCATCTTGTCCGCTTCCAGCTTCCAGACACATGATTTGTACACAAAAATCTACTGCGAATTAATACTGTTTCCCAAAGACTTGGGAGGATTTCAATTCTTAATTTTCTTTCCCCACTCCAATAAAGAACTTCTATGTCAACATTAATCAGTCGTGGCTCTTGAAAAAAGAATCTGTTTCACGGGGTCAGCTGAAAGGTAGGAGTTTTCAATTTAGTCATCACAATAATAAATGACAGCAGCTTTATTTTGAAATGTGAAATCAGGCAGTTTTCTGCACACAATGGCAAATAAGAAAGAGTACCTACAGGACAGGTGGGTCATAGTGGATACAGTTCTGTGGTCTGTGGTAAATGCCGCCTCAAAAATCACTAGTATGCCAGGACTTATTTTGTTTTCAGATGAGAGGGTTTTCGCTCATGAGAGTTTCACTTACATAATTCTTACTTACATGTTCTGAGGGCAGTACGAAAAATGATTGGCTCAGAGAGATAACCAATCAGATTGTAGAGGAGGTGGGTCCAACCCAACCAATGGTCCTGCTTCCTGTAGTTACTTGGGTTATCGCTCTGAACCAATCATTTTTCGTTCTGGCCTCAGAACAATTTTGTATAAATTGTATAAGTAAAACAGAAGGGTTTTCCTGTTGGGTGCCCCCTATAGGCCATCTGTCCATCTGCACTCTTTAAAGAGCACAAAATGAACACATTTTATGGCCGCCTCAAACAAAGCTGAAGTGTGACGAAGTCCGGGGAAGCCGTGACTGGGAATGTAATTTCTAGAGATCCAGCCTCACCATGATGTCCCGCATGCTGGTAGCATCAGAATCTGAAGCAGAGAAATAAAGCAGGACAAGAAGACAATGCCTAGACAGTTGGGGGAGTGGAGGGGGTGAAATGGGGGCGGCAGGATGCAAGCTGAGAAAAAGAGAGCTTTGTAGGAGAAATGAGAGAGGGATGAGTAGTTTCTTTTAATGAGTTTTGGAAAATGCATGTTTACACAGAGGAAGAAGCTTTCAGTGTATATTATGAAAAGAAGACACCAATGAACAGCTCTGTTGTAATCTGATCCCCCCCCTCAAACCAGTCACAAAGTGATTTGTCCAAATGTCATTGATCAGCGATGGGCAAAAGGCATGCTGCTGGGCACTTTCCTTATTGACGCTCTCCACAGCTCGGTAATCGGCTGAGTGTCCTGAGTATAAACCTGTGCTATCAGTTATATCTCGGCTGCTGATCACATTTCACCTGGCGCTGTGTTATTTGCATAACAGGTAATTACGCTATTGATCTGCGAAGCAGACAATGCCCAGGGGGTCAGGTTACTTAGTTAAGCATGTTTTGCACTCTGTGATCAATTAGCTTTGACTGGTAATCACTGGGGTGCTCCTGCTGGGGCACCTTGCCCCAGGGCACAGTCTCATTCCTTCACCCACTCGCTTCCACTTCTCCCCTTCAGGTTGCCGTGGAGCCGCTCCAGCCTGCTCCTTACATGCTGTGGGTCATGTGACTACCTCTCCAGCCGGATTCAGGCGACCCTGTCTCTTCTCCAGTGCGGCGCAGTGACGTGCCCCAGTTGGACTATGACGCTTCCGCCTGGGCCCGCGTTATAAAGGGGGGTGTCGTATCCCAAGGGAGCCTGCAGCAGCCAGTCCGTTAAGAGGCTTTCTGTCTCAACCTCCGCAAACTTTGCAGTAATGAGCTACATGCGTCCGTCGCATCATACCGACATCTGTACAGTACCGCAGCGATTCTGTTCTTTAACTCTCCACCCTTAACGCCCTGCAGGGGGACAGGGGTCACAGAGGCTGCCCAGTCAGCCCTAGCGTCCGTCGGGTGATCGTTGGTACAGGTGCTAAATAAATCCGCGAAAGCTGAGTGCAAACCATTCCTCCACATGAGGCGGCTAATTGGCCGAGAGGAGGCGAGATCGATGCTTCCGACCATCTCGCACTCGGCTGCCATTGGAGGCTCCCGCTGCGACGTCCGACACTCGTAAACAACAGCCCAGACCTCTCTCCTTGTCACTGTGGGTGTTGATCCACACTGGGCACCTCCAAATGAATACCTCAACACGCCGTACATCGCTGTAAATATCTATTCAGTCCTGCACCCTTGTGCTAAATAGATGAAGTTCCATCCAACAACATCTCCCCCCTTGTGAAATTCAATGAAATTCTATTTTCTTTGCACAGACAATAGATATTTTTATCTGACCAGGTAGCTTTGACAGATTGAGAAATGAATCCATTACCTGAATTTCTAATAACATTGTTCTTGTAGGTTCCGACCATGCATGTGCTGTCCGATCCGATCCAGACATTCCCCGGGGGGGTCTCTTGGGTACCCCCCCCCCCCACCACCAAAACACCATCATGGAAACTTTCATCTGTGCCACTTGTATAAGGGCGAGTTCCATTATGTGACTGCATACGGAGACACCCTGCTTGACGGCAACAGATAACCCGAGGCAGGAAGTGCTGCTCTCAGGATGTTTAAAAATGTCCGTGTGAGAAGGCGAGTCTCTCGCCATTCTCAGGAACCATTTTAATAGCTAGACATTAAATGTATCATAAACTTGCAAATAACAGAAGTACTTATATTGTTCCTTTACGTTCCTGTTCAAATGTGTCTACTTTTACACTAACAAGTGATGAAAATAACAGACTTATAACAACTATACAATCACATAGCGCATTTTTTTTGTAAGTCACCCGTCATGTGGTTCGTAACGAACAGTTATACTGAGCACCAACTTTGTACTGCTTTCAACTTGACGTGAAACGTCGATCCTCACAGAAGTACTTTATTTTATGCATTTAGTTTGCGTTTCTTAAGACCGTAAATTTCAGTGATTCGAATTAAAAGCTCGACATCGTTTTATTTTTAAACTCCAACACATTAATTATTGTGATATGCAATGCTTCTGAACAGACTTTTATCAAATTCACACTAATCTGTACACAATCTTCTAAGTTTTTATATGCAGTTTTATATATCAGTTACATTAGAAACGCGTGAATATGTTTAAGATGTGCAAAAATGCTCCCCACATGTATATTTAGTAGCCTACTAAGTGAACGTGAACTATACCGTATGTCTAATTAAAAATATATAATATATCTTTATTACAGTCATCATAACAGATTAATAATGCGTCTTCCAATAAACACAGCATATTCGTAGAATTTAACGGCAGGTTTCCCACTATATTTTCGGCTGTCATAAATAACTCCTACCTTTTATTCTCGGAGAATCCTATCGCTGTTGGTCTGAACACCATTCCGATGTAATTTTCTGAACATCGCAGGAGGAAAAAAAGGTCAACATTACGGGTTTAGTCCCTTAAGGAAATTTCCCTGAAGGAAATCTGCCAAGTTGTTTTAATTAAGATCGCGGTCTGTTTCATCCCAGACCATAAGAGAACAATATTGTCACAACCCCGAGCGTGTGAGCATCTCAACCTTCATTCTCCAGGTGTTCGCAGTAATCTCAGCTTTCAAGTGGTGATGTTTATTAATATGTATTTGAGATTTAAAAACATATGACAGACTGCATGCCGCACACTCCGGCGTCGCTTAAATAGTTCCCTTAGCCTGTCCTTCAGGGCTGCATAAGCGATTGCTGCGGGATCAATACCCGAGCGGGGACGTAGCGCCTTGTCTTCTGCGCGCCGAGCGAGAGAAGGAAATGTGTTTCAAAGCCTCTGCAGAAGAGGGAAGCCAAATGGGATTTTTCCTACACAATTCGGGGCCATTAAGAGTCAGCCCACTGAATAGCACCCCAAATATAAAACCCATTTAGAGAGGAAATAGGCAGGGGATATTATAAAGACGTTCAAAGAGACTGCCTTTGCCTACGATGCGACCGGGTCAGCTGCCCCGCTTGGGCACTGTCACCCTCTCCCCCGACAAATCCTTATTATATAGATCTCGGTAAAGCTTCTTGATAAGAAAACGTTTTCTTGCAATGCAAAGCGATTACATCGAACATTTCCTTGATGGATATTGGATATGGTTCTATCAAACCGCCGGCTCGTCCCGATTTCTCCTGAGTGTGAGTTGTAAAGTCACCGATCATGCTCCGGTGACAGCGTTCATCCTTTGTAATGTACTGCTATAAAAACGGCGCTATACTGGTTGCCGCCCAGGTATGCCATTATTCGGTCCCCCGACACCACCCCCCACTACACACACACACACACACACACACAAATCCCTCTGTGCCTGTCGGGATCTGGCCAAAACTAAAACAATTACTAGATGTTTGTACAATACGTTTTTGCTTAGATATTTAAATACTAAGTGTTTCTACTAACGCTGCATAGTAGCACGAACAAATAAACAAGATTATATCAACTGTTTCGCATTTAAACAAGCAAATTACCCCAAAACGTTTACACCTCTATTATAAATAATTGGCTGAAAAATTGAATCAAAATAATCTGAAATGTATTCTTGACAACTTCATGTCAACTTTGTTTCCATATTTATGGAGACTGACTAACAAGTGGTCGTGCCTCTACAAAGACCTGTTGTTTACATTTTTAATGGTATGACTATTTAACACACTCCATCATCGTGGAGAGGTTTATATCACAATAAGAAATTAGTCAATTAATAAATTACGACAGGCCTATGATATTTTATGTTTTTTCCAACGATTCATCCATCGATTCCCTTGACTCATTAATTCTGTAGGTCTACAAAGCGGTGACCCGACGCATTTCTGCTCTGCAACTTACACCGTAAGCCAACGATGATCTAGATTCCCATCGCGTAAAGGTGAATCGTTCAACGAACGAAAAAAACATTTTCAGTAAAAAAGAAATGGAACGAATTGCGTCAAATTACTTAATCCATACGCGGGACTAAAAGTCACATGAACATCCGCGTTCCTCGTTAACAGCAGTTTAGTGCGCTCGGCACAGAGCATCCTTGCAAAATTATTATGGCAGAATTGCCCACATCTTCACCGTACTTTAAATAAAATCAGAATTGTATACTGTGAATATATAATGGTCAATTGTATTTGTGGGCCAGTGCAGGTTAGAAAATAAATCTTGATATGTGATGTATTATTATTATTATTATTATTATTATTATTATTTCATAGCAAAGACAACGTGTTTAGAGAGAGATCCATTTACTTTTACTTCAGTGAGTTTTGTTAATCCCTTTAATCTTTATTTATTTGTACCTGATTATTAATTTTTAAATGTGCATTTTTTAATTTTAAGTTCCTTTTGTGCTGATGCATTAACAGCTGAAACCCAGCATATAGAAAGAACACGTGGAAATGGCTGCCAGTTTCACACAGAAATTAAACCCGCTGCATAACAAGTGGCTGCAGTCAGATTTGGCTGCCTTGTTGTTAATTGCCAGCTGTTGCGCAGATGTTTGCTTGCCAGAAGCAAAATGGATGGACTCCCTTATATTACACGTCAAGCTCTGATGCAGTTGAAAGTTAGATTGTGAGATATGAAATGATTCAGTTTCCATGAGTAGCTTTGGAGAAAACTATACAATATGTTATAAAGTACCATACAAGGAGATAATAAAAGGCCGCTTCAGATACACGACGAGTGCATAAATAAGAGTGTCTTGGACACAAGAGAGACTTGCTCAGTTGAGGATAGATGTTCCTGGAACAGATGGGTTTTGGGGTGTTTCTTCACCGTCATAATAAAGGTACAGCCCTAGTACAGTCTTGTTCTCCAAAGTGCAAACTGTCAGGGTCAGTGCCTGTCCATCCCTGTCCTATGGTTTAGGTCCCCGTTTGGCCAGCAGGTGTTGCTGGCCATCCTGTTCCCTCTGTCTTTATACTAGTCCCTAGTGTGTTTTCCTGTTTCCTTGAGTTGCCGCATAGCTCAGTGGGTTGAGTGTGTGATACCAAGACTGTAACCTTTGGGTCATGGGTTTGACTCCAGCCTCATTTCCTTCGTTCATTGGGCTTCTGTTTTCTAGTGTTAAAGTTTGGTTTATCCTACCTGTGTCCAATTTAATTCTGTTCTGCTTGTGTTTGTACTCCTAGTGCATCTTAGTGTTAGCCCTCAGTTTTGTGTTGAAATTCCTATAGTGTTTATTGGTTGCTTCCTGGGTTTGGTATTTGTTTAAGTCCCCTAGTTTTCCGTGTTTGTTAATTATTAGTTTAGTTTCTCCACCTGTGGCCTGTTTCCCTGCACTGTGCTCATTGGTTAACTGTCTTGACGATTCACACCTACCTTTTGTTAGTTCTCGTTATTTGAGTATTTAAGTGTCTGCTCTTGTCCTGTTCCTTAGTCTGCCTTTGTGAATGTTATAATGTGTTGTTCTCGATTCTCAGCCAGTTCTATTCCCAGTGGTTTTGCTTGCTTTCTTAGTTGTGCTTTATTTCATGATTTTAGTTAGTTCAGTATTTTTCCCTGCTTGTTTCCTGACCTCTCGTAGTCCTTTTGTTTGTTCCTTCCCTAGTGCTCAGTGCCCTACTAAACCCCCTTTTCTTGGAACCACCAGTGGATCGTCACCCTTTTCCTCGCCTGTGCCGCAACAAACAATATTAATGTACCCCCAATGGTCCATTTCTGTACCTTAAATTAGCCTAATAGGCACATTTATGTACAACTTTGGTTACAATTGGCAGCATCTTGAGGGTACAGCCCCAGTGACAAGTAATCATACCCTCTAAGGTACAAATTGGTACATTTTGTTCTGAGAGTGTTGAAGGTTGAACAGGATTCTGATGACTGGGTGTGAATGGGTAGCTTGTTTCACCACAGAGGAACCGCACACTAGAGTGATATGTCGCATGGGGATGGAGCACCAGGAAGTGTCAGCGTCCTCCCGGGAAACAGAAGTGACATCATATTTATACACTGTGTTTGGACAGTGCATAGCAAACAGAAACAGGGAGCTGGGGATCCGAGGCCACTGTAATTAAGATTTCCCTCTCATGGCTTAATGAGCTTCACCTGAGCTCCAGGATCAGCATGTAGTGACTCGTCATCCTCCATCATACACCAGTTACCTGCAGAGAAAGTGACTTTAGTGGCGAGGACGCAAGCAGACTGTAAAATGCCTTTAAATACTGATATAAGCTGCATATTCGCAAGTCATAATTATTCCAGCAGCATTTTAGACGGATTAGCATGTGAATATTTTAGTGATGGTTTATCATCTGATGTATATGTGGGATAAATGGGAATGAAGAGATCTTTGAATAGATGGTGACAGCACACAGTCTTTCCCACCATAATCTGCTGGGCTCTGGTCTATGTGTTCTGCTCGGTGAGGGTCACTGTCAAGCCGACCCTGAAGAAGGCAGCCCTTTAGGCTTTGGGTCTCAGCAAGCCGGGCATCAGCATGCAGCCTGACTCATGCATACCCGCCTTATCTCTCCCACATAAGCAGATGCTTCTGATCCTTCCACATATGCCGGCAGCGTCTGGTCCTTACGCGTCCCTGGCATCAGCAGGAGCGCTGGCTTCGCCTCGCTGCGGGTCCCTGCCGCCCACTCCCCAGTTCCGGCCCCCTGTGCCCAGCTCGACAAGGCCACGCGAAGATCCGCCAGGTTTATCGATGGCTGTTTACGGTGAGAATTTCGCACTTTCTGGAAGGATGCAAACCGTGACTAGCCGGATTGGAAGGTGGGTCAGGGGGCTGGGGGGGGGGCTCTCAGGTGGGCAGGGCCATGGAGAAAGCCCAGTAGATCAATCGCCTACTTATATGTATCTGTCCCTCCATCCATTTTCTATGCCTGCTTGTCCTATGCAGCCTGACTTTGACTTTATGGTGGATAAATGTTTTTCACTTTCAGTACATTATTCAATAAATTACAGTAAAGTGTTTCAATAAAGATATGTAACATTTTTATAAATTAGGCTTCGTGGTAATAATTTTGCCCAACTGTAGGCTAATGTAAGTGCCCTAAATATGTTTAAGGCAGGCGAGGCTAGGCTATCATGTTTGTTAGGTAAGGTGTACTGTATTGAAGTGCATTTTTGCTTTACGGTATTTTCGCCTTAAGGTACGTTTATCGGAATATGACCCCATCTTAACCCGGGGAAAGGCTGCATATCCTCTTATCTAGTAGAACATTGGTAAAGTTACACAGGGTGAAATGACACTATTTCTGCAGTGTGTTGTGCTGTGGCTGCAGAAGGCCAGTCAGCTCCAGCCCAGGGGAGCCGCAGGGGATTCAGGCTGCCTCCAGATTTTAATGTCTTTATCAGAGTAATTA